CCCCCCCTCGGTCCGCCACTGACGCGTGCCTATACCTTATCAAATTGCCACCCTTATTTTGGTGAAATGCCCTTTGATTGCAGGACTGCAAACCCTTCCAGTATCCGTATTTATCCGCAATCCTTTCGGCAGATGCTAGCAGCAGCAATGTATTACTCGATATTTTTAGACAAGCACGAGCGAAACTGATAGCGAGAATGAGTTTGTTGAGAAAAAGAAGAAGAAGAAGGATGTGCTTCCACCGGGACAGAAAAAGCTTGCATTTGCAGCAGCAGCTAAGAAGGGCACTCCAGGTAAACAATTGGGAGAAAAAATGAATTAATGATTATTTGGAGACTTTTTCAGTGAAAAAGGAAAAGAAATCAGCGGAGAAGTTGGAACCTGTTAGTGCTTCCGACTTTTTTGGAGACGCGGATGTGAAGGGAAAACCTTCTCCGACCAAAGTAATTGCTTGTCATGTGCATCGATCTAAGGATATCCTCTCTTTTCCAGAAAGTTCCAACGAAGAGCGCTAAAATTAGTCCATCCCAGAAGGAAAATGCTGAACAAAAACCCGCGAAGGTCGAGCAGGTAGAACAGGCTGTTTATTGTTTCATGGACCCAAAGAAATTTGCCTTAGGTCAAAGAGAAAGAAAAGAGTAAAATTGACGATAAACGGCAGAAGCAAAGGGAAGCTGATGCCAAGCCCAAAACTGATCAAAAGCAAAAGAAGACAGAAGAAAACAAAGTAGAGAAAACTACTACGCAAAAGACCCCTGCTAAGCCTCATAAAGGTTTGTGATTTTGCTTGTTGCAGCATTATTTGAAAAAGGTAAGATGTTTCTAGAAAGTCCAACGCCTAAGCATCACGATAGACCAAAAGCGGATGTAGTTGCGATTCCTAAATTACCTAAGGTGAGTTTGTTGTGTTTCCTTCCACTCAGAATGTCGGATCGTGCACTTTGATTTCACTATTTTTCTCATTATTGTTGTTCCTGTTGTTTTCCAAGTATACCTAATTT